TTTCCGAGGGACAAAGTTGCTAAACTTGGTCGGCACTCGCACAACTCTCTCACAGTGGAAGCAAAAAGACTAATGAAGCAATAGAAAAAACCTAATTTTTCACTATAATGTAAGAAATTGCTCCAATCATCTTCATTTTTTAGATATGGTTGCCAAACAGGCTTACCTTGTTGGTTTATACCGCAAAACTCTCTTCTCCAGAAGTAGCAGCCAAAGTCTTTAAATATCAGGAACTCAATAAAAGTTGCATGCAACAAATAGAGCCTAGTAAATGTGTGCTAAATTGTTTAAAAATCGAGAAAAACCAAAGCTTTTACCATGCATTACTGTGTGTGCAGGTGGAACATAGGTTGATTGAGCCACACCTTCAAGTTCATTGCAGCCACATCTTTTACATTGCTGCAGGTTATGCAGCAACCTTCTTTTTGGCTGTTCACCAAGTTTTGTTTAGTCTATTAAAACTGTTACTCGCATATTATACAGATTGTGGCAAGGGTACGCACTTTAGTGCTCTTGTTAAAACAATCACTGATACATGATATCCTTATTTTGTAAATTTAACAATAATGTGAACACATGACAGGTCATGATAGTAATACAATGTACATGTACTGTATAGCTAAAATCTTTTGTGGCCCAAAATGTTTGCTAATTTTTCACTTTATTCAAAATTTACAAAATTAAAATCCGTGAAAATCAATTTATACATTTCAACATGGCTGAAAAGTAGTAAATCGCAAAAAATTAAAGCCATTTGGGTGAATGCATGAAATTTTTAGGCCACAAAAATTTCTTGCTATACAATATTTCTAATCTCATATCCCTCCCTATAACATAAACATACGTGACTCAATGAGATGGTTTTATCATTGACTCCATTGAGGTTTCCCTTCTTAGGACCAAACAATCTCCTCCAATGATAATGATAAGTAACACCTGGTGATGAATCAGGCCATGTACTGGAGAATATCTTAATATGATCAGTTGGTAGTGTAATAACTGGGTGTTTATTAGCAACTGCTACTGTAAGGACTGTAGAGAGAGGAGGAGAGATGGAGGGAGGAGAGAATATTAGGAGAGAGCGGGTACGTATGGGATAAAGGAAAAAAAGGAGAAAATTAATTCATTATAGTGGGAAAAATTGTTGGATACTTTGGCGATTGGTGATAAAACCTTAAAAATAAAATCTTCATTCCGAGCATGCTGAATAACACATGGTTGCAAATTTGCCAATATAAAAACCGTCGATACACTGTAACATTGTACATTGTGATTACATTAACATTGTATTCCTACTACACAGTAATCACAGGAAAGGTATTAATTATAATAAACAAGCAGAATGTATTTGTATCGTTTACAATAAAAACATGTGTACATTTGTTTTTATGGAAAACATTTCATTTATAACAGACAGGAAACAGACACAGAATACATACACAATGTAATAACAATACAGTATGTACTGATGAATGATAATACTACATACATGTATATACATTGTAGGAGAATGGTGCTTTGTCATAATAGGCTCTAAAAAGACCCACTACTGTATGTTCTACATCATAATGGACACATAAATATCAATGTACATAACAGCAAATAACAATACCAAACCAATAATAACTATCATTGATATGAAGTTACCCAATGCATTAATAAGCTGAAGCCACTGACCTCTGCCTACTTCATAAATTGTGCATGACATGCAAAACTCACTGCTACAGTAACTGCTTCACTAATTAGATTTTAATATCTTAAATAGCAACAGTAATTATACTAATACATATTTGCTATGCAAATAGTTTTCATGTAATACACATAATTATAAGTACAAAGTTTACAGTATAGCAACGTTAAAACAACTCTCATTTTAAACAGATAATCCACAAAATTTTACAAGTTAATCCTCTTAATTTTCTAACTCACCATTATTGATTAATCTGTGATTCCCATGTGGTGGTTTAGGATGTGGCGTTGCCTTGATAATGGAAGAGGATGAGCTTGGAGTTGTAGTGACAACTGAAGACAAAGACGAAGACCTCGTTGTGGCAACAGAATGAGAATAAAAATTAGAAGAATAATAATCAGAGGAAGAGGAGGAGAGAGAGGAGGAAGATGGTTGGGGGACAACAGTAGAAGAGAAAGAGCTTTCATCTTTATTATGACTATCATGATTGGTCTTCTTAACAAAAGACATTACAACAACACTACTACTATACTTAGCATCATAAGGAACAGCCTTAGGAGTACACCTATCCTTTTCAGCAGAGTTACAACCGACAGCGAAACACTTCTTCTTAAACAACCAGCCTAACTGACACTTTCGACCATGTTGACAACAAAGATCAGCACATTCCTTGTAAGAACGAGCGGCACCGATGAAATGAAGATACGATACTTTGGTCTTTCCCTTAGGCAATGAGTTGGAATGATAATGAAACCTACACGAGTAGGAGGGGGGAGCCGTGGGATAGGAAGGAGGAGGAAGGTCTGGTTCTTCTGCAGGGTCTTGTCCATCCTGATTGTGATAATTGTCACTAGAGGAGGAATGATATTCATTATTATCCGTCGTCTCTTTTGATTTATCGTTATATTTATAATCCTCCTCCTCATCAGTTTCCTCTGCATTAGTGTCCTCGTTATATTTGTATGGACGATCTACATCCTCCTTTCCATTGTATGGATCACCGTCATGAAACGAATCAGGATATGGACGCTGGTCATAGCTATCCTGGGGCTTGTCTTCTCTTTGATTGTCATAAGATAGAGGCTGCCTTCTGTGTGATGAAAGGGATCCACCTAGACCTGAGGCAAAGATAGATAGAGTAGGTGTTAATGATAATCATAGTGTACATATGCAAGGATTAAAACAATGTTGTGGGTCAGGTTACACAACCCGAGGTACAAGTTAACAAGTAACAGCTCTTTAAGCTTCATTCTCACTTGTAACTAGTAGAATGAAGACAACAGTAAAATGGACTCCCTTCCTCATCTTTCAGGGCCGATAATGACCTAGGATGTAGTGGTCTTCACTATTATCTTTTCCTCCTTTCTTCTCCGAGAACTTCCTGTACAAGACCACCACGCCTACTTTGTTTACACGTGGGCGGATGGGCCTTGGGTGGGTGTTCATGACACGTGCTTCCACGTGGGTAACATGGCGACTGGAGGAGGTCGAATGAATGAAAGCAAACAGATTTGGTTGGTGGATAAGTATGCTAGACTTGTAGCATCACGGGAGCCTTCAGCATTAAGCTTGTCACAGGATCAAGGAGAAGGAAATAGCTGGCAGGTTTGAATATGAATATTTTTAAAAATCATTCAAATATCACCAGCTGCTGCAATTTTTAGCATTACAACTCTTCACCTGGTAAACAGATTCTCTTAGTGCTTATTAATAAAAACCACTTTATGATAACACACGGAGACACCACACTGGTTAGTTAGTGTAATATGTATCTGTCACTAGCTATTCTCTTTGCACATGAGTTAATGACCTGGTTATGGTTTTTCACTAGATTCTGGTATAGTGCTTCATTTTAAAATATATATACATGTACTCATGTTGTGTAGAAAGTTTGAGCAAATTCTGATGAAAATTGGATTTTTTATGAATTTTTAAAGTTTCTCAAAAATCT